CAAAAACAAACACAAAAGATCAAGTGTCCAATTAATAATTTGAAGCTTAACATCAGCAATTATCGTATTGGTATGCATTTGCTTTCAAATCATAAAAAAGAGCGATATCACATAAAATGTTATTAATAAATGTTTGACCAAGTCAAAAACGAGACGGAAATGAAACTTAAAATGATTGTTTGTTTGTTTTGAATTTCGCGCAAAGCTACACGAGGGATATCTGCGTTATATTTATATCTTGTATTCATAAGTAGGGTATTTAAGATCTTACATATTATTCGTCATAAGGTTTTATTTACTTGTTCATAACGATGTTGTTTTTTTTGGATATTTTAGTCTCTTGCTTAAAATACAAATTGTACATATCAACGTATAGTTTCTTCAGCCAGGTAATACTCGTAAACATGTTCTTTATATTACTTATAATAGTCTTTCCGCATTTTTTTTCCAACTTTTCAATATTTTATAATAGCGAAACATATAAATAGAACAAATGAGGCCTATTTAAAGTCTTACAAATGAAGCAGAAAACTTTTCACTTTCAAATTCTGTTCCATAAGATTAATATTTTTCATCATCTACTCTAATAGCTCTTAATATAATAAGCACATACCTTTAGATTAACACTCTTTGGATGCATGTTCAAAATAACGTCACTAAGTCGCTGGGCAGACAGGCGTGTTTCAAGAAGAGACATACTAGTAGGCTCTTTAGGGAGAAGAATTACCAACGACAGCAAGCCTCCCCTGAAAGGAATTTCTACAGCCCTAGCATTAAGATAGGCGTGCTCTCCATAGCGTGGTCCAGTTTGTTTCGAGTTTTTTACTAATGGGTTGTCGTCGCTGTTATATCGACTGTTTTGTGGTCGAAACCCACTTGTTTTGTAATCTCTAATGAAGTGGACATTGTCCGAGCTCGTCATGTCTAAACTTCCAACAAAATGAAGCCCATTCAGAAACAGAATGTTTGTGGTCATTGGAGGCATGTCTGGTAGGATGTTCATGATCCTTCCGTTAGTTTGTTTAGCTACGACGGCATTGATGTGATCTTTTGTCTCTTCTCTGCTCATCACGAAGTCCAAAGGATGGACAGTCGTATTGTAATATTCAAGAAGATCCTTTTGGAAAGGATACTTAATGGCATAATCCCTCTGCACGTACATGGAACTGTAGAAGAGCAGTTCATTGTCAGACTCTTCTGAAAATCTGAACCTGTCACCAGGGGTTCGAGGAATGACCGATGCTCGAAGATTGTTAGCTATGTGGCTTAGCAAATCACGGTAGGCTTGGTGGATTGCATCAGGATACATCCCCCACAGGTATAGAGCATGGCGAAGAGTCATCGTTGTTTCTCCACGTGATCCAAGCATGATTGCGGCCAGAGCTGTACTAACACTTAGAGGACTGAAAGCCATGCTGGTCAAATTGTGACTGCGTGTCATAGTCCGAAACATATCTATACCGAATTGGTTGGTTGCAGAGGCCACTTTCTTCATCCCAAATGTTAGCTTATTTCCATAGTTCTCTTGTCCAAGAGCTAAGGTTACTACGGTAAGCAGGGGAATAAATCGTGCGGACAATCTTCTCATTGTTGAACACAACAGGATGAAAAAAATGCTACAAAAAAAGGAAGTTATCATCTTAACTAATTTTCCAAAAAACATTCGTAAGACTCAGTATTTTTTTCCACATTTTTGTTTTACATATTTCTGGAAAATAATCAAAACATGGGTAACGTATCATATGCACTCAGTATGATCTTCACAGGGTGAATGGCACAAGCTTAGCGGGTTCTCTTGTGGTCATCGTGTGGTAGTCACCCAAGCACGGTGGACGACCCAACTATAAACGGAAGTGTACAACGTCACCTGTTATCGCGCTTTTACAGCTTCGAAAAAAAAAGTTATTTGATGGACACACGATATTTAAATAGACCCGCATAATTACACATATTTTTATTACTCTGAAGAAAAGTAGACTGGAGTATCCTGTTTTCGTCATGGGATATCGATGCCTGGATGAGTCAAATTTATTTTATCCATTTATAAAAGCATGAAATATTTCCACCCAAAGAGATTGTGATTCTCACATCAATAAAAATTGGTAATCATTAATAGCGGTTACACTCTATTTACTGGTCATTTCGCTGTTAAAAATCTGATATGAAATTAGAACACTTAACCACCAAACATGCACTGAATTTCAAAGCTTAGCATGGAGATATGCATCAATTACTTGCAGAACTATGCCATGAACTATGTCATAAGTTACTTAATTTGCAAACCTATTTCTTTTTTTAACGTGTATGACGATCTTACGTTTTCATTCACTTTGCGACAATTTTTAAGTAGTTTTAAAAAATACTAAATTGATAAATAATTTATTGATTAGAATAAAGATTTTCAGAAAATTTTGAAACGTAATTAAATACTGAATTGGCGTTTCCTCTCACTCAACGTTTCAAGTGCCTAAACACATGAAATCATTTAGATTACATTAAAAAACAGATATCATTGTTACAAGGATATTATTTATGATTTTAACTTTATACACAAGTGCCAAAATACTATAATTATATATTGTTACACTTCCAATATATATGAAACATTTTCCTATGGCTCAGCAGTAAGATTCAAAACTTATAACGCTACAATTAAGGGTTCGATCCCCTCGACGAACATAGTTCAAATAGACCATTGTATAGCTTTGAGTTAAAGCAAATAAGCAATAAAACCAATACGAAACTTTGTGCCAGTGTCATGGTATCAACAAAGCTGAAAACGTTATTTATGTTCTCTGTCATTTTGACAAGGGTAAAACTAAATGTATGTTACGGTTTTGTTAATTAAAAAAAACAATTACCAGTTCCCTTCCTCTAGATGATTTAGCTGACTCTGATATAAAATCTTGATCTAAGTCAAAATTTCATCTAATATACGAGAATTTAGTGGGCGATAAATTCCGAAGGTACACATTTAATCTAGACCTTTTTAATGAACAAAAAACAAATTGCATTCAAAGAAATAACGAAAGTTTGTTCAAAACAAACAAGTCCAGTCTGGATATGCAGAGGGCCATACACTAGGTAGTGTGAGAAGTGCTCCCGCCCAGAGTGCCGATTCATAGGGGACGCGAGTTTACATCTTTAAAGAAAACGATAGATTAGATTTTTTTTTCATGAAGGATGCAAAAGTTATATCTTGAACAGGGCGCCACTAACGATCGGTACGGTGCTAGCATGGTTATACATGCTAATTAGAATAATAAATACGCAGCTTATGCAAGAGAGTTTACTGAAACGCAATGTACTTCATTATCACCAATTGAACGAAGATAATAACATCTTTAAAATGAATTATTTTATGTATATTTTGATTGGATTCAGAAACATCTGACGAACGCCTGTTTTAAAAGTGATATGACAAGACTAACCAAAGGTTTGCGTCGTATGATACCTTTATTTGAAGTCTCTTTTAAAGAAAAGTCTAAATGATTAAATCCTATAGGTAATCATTATAAATAACTCAATAACTCGAACTATTAATGGATCTATTAAGTACTTTTACGTATATTACAAAACTAAGCTTGCTTAGTTTCTTAAAATATAAAGTAGTCCTGCGTTCGGGAGACAATTTGCTATAATTTTCTCTCGTTATTAAAGTTTATTTCACTTTAGCATACTTCGATTAGCAGACAATTTAACTGTACCAAATCTCTCGTTATCATGTTTTGTAACTACCCGTGTCATTTCGATTATTGGGTAGTTTCCAATAATCTTTAAAGTGTTACTGACTTACCGTTCGACTAAGGTATCTCTCACTGATGACAGATTGCTGGTCTTGTATATCTGAGGTAAACTGTAGAAATGTTGATCTACAATGTACCGTCAAAGATCCTATCGTAAACACCTGGAAAAATAAAAATTGCTGACAAGATGATAATCCTCAACACAACCAACTGTTGCCAAACCCATTATTATCCCGTTATCGTCTACCGCATAACTCACGTAAGTTTTAGGCTAAGACCTTTCGAAAGGCTCGGCTGAGCAGCAAGGGACAATAATGATGATTTCTTTGGTGTGTGTCCAATTCTTTTGTCTGTTGGGCGTGAACAGTAAAAAAATAAAAATAAATAAAAAGAAGTGAACCCTTCCAACCGCAAAACGTTCGGTTGGTGAATCATCGGTTACTACAATAAGGCCTAAAGAGGGAAATGAAGTAGAGCGAAACTTACGTACATCGCCCATTATTTCGTATTTAACAAAGAGAAGTTATTTGTTCTCAAAGTAATTTATTTCTATTAAATTAGATTTCATTATTCAAGGTCTAAACACATTCTAGACTCTAAAACATTTCCCAAGTCCTGCCAAATTCCACTGTTGACATTGACATTTGAATTAGATTATGACTTATAAGTCAAAATATTTAGAAGTGATGGTATTTTTACTAACATATATATCCATATTTATCACAAATAAGGAGTAATTTTATCTCGTTTATTTACCAAAGCTTTGTATTCCTTTTAATTCGTTTTTGGTGGCGTATTTGCTTGTTCTATATGTTAAAAGGTTAATAAATTATTTATTTTTTTTGACAGGTACTTTTTTTTTACATTTTGAGCCTAATTTGAAAACAAAACACTAAGCCTTTTGATGTACAAAGTTAATACTGACGAAATGTAATGATTTTTACTCTTTTAAATCCGTTTTAAATGATAATGTTTTAACTTCTAAATTTAGAAAATTATCTTTAACATGTTCTTTAATAGATTGTTTAGGCAGAGTATTCATGATGAGTACACTGAAATGGACGACAACTGCCTGTTGTAGAAAACACAAGTGTAGAGGACGACGTTTCGAAAGTCTTCTGTCCTTCATTTTCAGAAGACGTAAGACTTTCGAAACATCGTCCTCTACGCTTGTATTTTCGACACCAAACCAATTGTCTTCCATTTCAATGTATGTATCTTTACCATACTTTTAGCAGCAAAACAAAAAAGATTAATGAATAATAAAAGCTGAAAAGTTCGAAACTGAATTTTCAAATATACTAAATGTTTTTGTTATTTTTTTACCATCTTAGTATTCAGAATTACAAATTGTATTATTTTCAGTTTTCTGACTTGGTTATTTTAGAAAAAAAGTATATATTTATTACAGCACGACTCCAAGTGTTTAACACATATCGTTTTTCAGTAAATTGTTCTTTATATATACATTATCGCTATGTTTGGAGGTAACATTAGAGTGAATTAAAATATATTTATATGCATTTTACTATTCCTACTACCGATTGAAATTTATAAGTTAATGTTTACTTTGTATTTAAAATGCAACCGAATAAACTGAGCAAGAGAATATTATTGTGGAATGATTCTGAATCGAGCGCCGTCATAAATATACAATCGATCAAAAAACGCTTTAGCTCAAACAATAGATGATACTGTATTTCATAAACACGGCAAAATAAAGCAATTTGGCATTTCTCACCCTGCAGTATTTTATCCATGTGTTGCAAAACTGAAGTTATAATTTATATTATATTCAGTTTTGCTTCTAATTTACCAAAGGATCATCACTGGGTTACATTGTGATGTGGTGAATTAGAAGCTAAGCTAAATGCAAATTCGCTTTTGCAGGACATGGATAAAAACGAAGTTGCTATATTTTGATGTATTTATGAGATATCACCTACTCTTTAAGCTAAAGCATAATTTTAGCTTCTTTGTTTTTCTCGCAAGGGTATTTGGATGGATTTCACGTATTTTTGTGTTACATCCCCAAGACACTTATACTATAGTCGTTATTCTTTAACAATATCTCTAAAGTGAAGCAACTGACACAGAAAAATAATATGCAGATCAGTATATTGCTGATATTACACAAATTATCAAGTAGACTATATAGGATTGGGAAGAATGTTCCATTTAAGGATGACAACGTGCAGAGGTTTTCTTAGTGTGCAGTTGATCACAAATTGGGCACCTGTAAAAACTTTGTGCAGTTAATAATTCATCTATATAAGTAAGTTCAAGTGGATAAATATATATATATATAAACACATTTAAGATTATAAAATTCCATTCCAGAGTTGTCAAATATATGTATTTACTAGAATATTCTTAATTTTTTGGATCATTTGTTACTAGGCCTGTATATATGAGGTGCAATAAGGCCCCATGTATTAAAAAAAATGATGAAGTTAAGATATAATTGTGCAATTGAAAAAATCCTTAGAAAAAGCTCTGACAACGTGTGAAAAAGAGCTGGAAGCAGTAGTAATTCCTTGTGACACTCTTGTTCTGAGCTGTGTTATGCGAACTGAATTCTGGTTACTAGAGTGGCCGGATGAAGAGGAGAATGGTACTTTATATTTTTATTAATCGATATTCTTTCTCATTCATAAGTGATGTAGCAGCTTTCAAGAATATATGTATATTTCAACTGAAAAGGAAGTACATAACTGCCTCAACAAGTAGACGCTAATTTAATTCACGTCTCCAGGTCTCTAGCGATAGGATTGGTATATATTGTAACATTTACGAGAGATGAAATTAGGATCTGTTGACTGTGATCGCTAGGTGCTCGTGC